GTTTGTGCGTCTGTTTGTTCGTCCGTCCGAGCAGTCACGGACGACCATGGCGGACGATCAGAACGAGGGTGTCATCCGAGCGGAGGAAAGCCAGGATCGGCTCATGGACATGTCAGGTGCAAGGAATGCACATGCGTCGAACAAGCGCAGGCATAGGTCCCGTCCTCATTCTCATTCTCATCCCAGTCACCCAGAGCAAGACAAGAGCGCGAAGTTCTTGGAAATTCCTGTCTTCGACCAAGAGAAATTGACACCAAGTCACAACCAGGTCTGTTGTGCAACCCTGAACCGATCCAAGTGTCAACATGTACCATCATCGAGTGCACCATTTCGACGAACCACAGCGGCTTGTGTGCCTCCCTGTGTCCGTGTCTGTCTGTGTTTGTGGTGTGTTCCTGGCACATCCATGCAATTGCCAAGTTCTCAAGCCTCATGTGATACAACAATCACTCCTGCACATGTTGCAGGTGAAGAAGAAACTCGATGACTTTGCAGGCGAATGGTGCGTCAGGAAGAACGGCTGGTTTGCGTGGTTGATTTGCTAGATTTGCTCTGCTGTATCATTCCAGCATTCCGATCCCTCGTTGCTTCCGTTTGTGGTTTTGGACTCAACCCCACGTCATGCAACATAAGCTGGACACACCAAGACCATTCCTGGGCCCCCTCCTTCTTCTTCTTTTCCAAAATCAGCACCACTTGCTTGCTTGCGCTAAACACGAAACACCCACGTGGCATCTTTCCTTCTCGGGCACGTGCTGTCAGGGCGTGGCCCGCGTACGGCCTCGCATACTTCGCACTCATTGATGTGTACTTCGCCCCGTTTTCTCTTCACCCTACTTGTCCGTAGGTTCGGCCTGAGCGCAAGCCGTGGCATCACCAATCCTGCATGGGGAGTCCTCAACCTGAAAGGCAACACACACCAGGTTCGTTGGGTGATTGCGAGAGCAGACATTGTCATGTCTCTCTCGCTCTAGTTCGACGGCGCTTCTCTCTGTCATGCCAACGAGCCTTGAGTTGCTTCAACTGTCTTACGTTCTGTCGCTTTGCACAACACGCCACCACACTCGTCACACCTGCACCCGTTTGGCTTGCACGTGCCTCACCTCCATTGCTTTCTCCTTTGATCCCGGCTGCCTTGAAGGCCCCATTTGTGTGTGTGCCGCGCGGTCCAGCCGACGACAAAAAGCCTGCTCGGCCGATGAACACCGTGTCTTTTGTGAGAGAAGTTGTCAAGAACCATGCAGGCGCCAGCTACGAAGACCCAAGTCTCATCCTCAGCATCACAGGTGGTGCCGACAGCCTCCACTTGCCCCCACGCATGGAGCGTGCGCTGACGCAGGGCATTCAGCAGGCTGCCCTTCGCACCAAGGCCTGGGTTGTTTCCGGTGGCACCAACGTCGGTACGTTTTGCGTGCCTGCGTGGGTGTGCCTGCGTGCTTGTGTGTGTGTGTGTGTGTGTGTGTGTGTGTGTGTGTGTGTGTGTGTGCGTCATTGGCAAGACGTTGAAGCATCACTTGCTTGCCAGCTTGCCAGCTTGGACAATCACCTCTGCCCCATCCTGCTTTCTCAGGCCAGATACACACACACACACTCACACATACACACACGCACACATCACTGTGTCCCTCGTAGGCGTCATGCGCCTGACCGGTTCCATCATGCAGTCAACTCCACGCCGACAGGGAGACTTCAAGCCACCCACCATCGGCATTGGTCAGCATTCACGTCCGCGTACACGCACACATACACACACACACACCTGCAAATCCTCACGTACTCACACACTCACTCACACACACACACACACACACACACACACACACACACACACAAACACACACACACACAACAATCTCCCCCATTCTTCAACCGCGAATCGAACTTGCAGCAACCTATGGCGTTATCCGCGATCATGACTTACTGCATCCGGACGACGTGAGCGCTTGCACCATGTCGTATTCGGGCTATGCCCTGCTGTGCTTTCGGTGTTATCTAAGCGCAACTCACATCCCGTCACTTGAACTGCCACCCCTGACACCACACGCAGCACGCGACTCCAGTTCATTACGACTCTCGCCAGAGGTCCGTGCGTTCGTCGAAGAGGAAGGAGAAACAGCAGCAGGCACAGCCAAACTCTGCGCCGACAACCCACGCTCCGCCAACAGCCAACGCCGATTCAACCAGAAGCGCCACAGCCGCCCCCAACGAATTTGCTGAGACAGAGTTTGCTGAGACAGAGTTTGGAGATTCAGCGTATGGGTTCAACGATGAAGAGGGCGGCAAACCTACCGCTGCCAGCAGTGTGGCCCAAGCTGATGCCAACGAGAAGAAGCAGCAACCACACGGCGGGCAAGCTCCTCCTGGCCGCCCCAAATACAACACATTGTTCGACAAGGATGATGTTCAGCCCGTTCCGCTGGATCCAAACCACGACTTCTTCATTCTGGTTGACGATGGCACCGACAATAAGTTTGGCGGCGAGATTGAGTTCCGCGCAGAGTTCGAGAAGGTGCGCTTAATTGTGTCTCTTAGTGTGTGTGTGTGTATGTGTGTGTCCTTGTATGGGTTTCTGTGGTGTGTTTCTGTTTGCCTGCCTATTTGTCCTTTTGTTTGTGCGTGCGTGCGCCTGTGCACGCTTTGTGCATGAGCTTCCAGTTGTTCCTCTTGTCCACCCGAGCAGCCTGGTCTGCCAATCCTTTTACTCAAATCATTTACGAACACACGCATCCTGTTCCTGCGCCAAGGCTGCAAAAGGCCGCTTCGACTGTCCCGTGGTCACGGTGGTGATCCAAGGTGGGCCTGGTACCCTGAATACAGCCCTCGAATCAGGTCAGACATCCCCTGTCTGCTAGCTTGTCGTGTCTCACCCGTTGTGACGGTAGTGGTGTTGTCAGGCTGTGTAAAGGTTGCCTGTGAGGGGATAATTTCATCGGTTGCACTGAGGAAAGAGCGGCTTTTTCGCTGAAAGCTTGCATACCAGCCAATGATGCTCTGTTTGCTGTTGTTCAGTTGATTGCTGACACCCAAACGCCACCCCCACATGCACGGTGTGCCTGTGTGTGTGTGTGTGTGTGTGTGTGTGTGTGTGTGGTGTGTGCATGTGTGTGTGTCTTGCTTCTTTGTTTCACATCAGTTCGAGCGCAGACGCCGATTGTGGTCGTGGAGGAATCCGGCCAGACTGCGGACGTCCTCGCCTACGCTTACAACTTCATGCACAGCCAACTGTAAGTCGGTTCGGTTGGTGGTTGAGAGACTCGAGCGGTACCTGTCCGGAAACATAGTTGCGGTGCACAGGACAAACACAGGGGTCAGAAGAGAAGGCGAGAGAGAACCCACATGCACATACACACACTTGCACATGCACACATGCGCACCCACACATACACTCATAAGACATACAGCACTCAAGAGCTGAGTGGTTTCAGGCAATCACTCATATCGAACGCCTTGCTTCTGCTTCTGCCTGCTGCAGGTATCGACACACGAGCTACACTCTCAACGCCCTGAGGGAAATGATCAAGAAGGCATTCAAAATCGGAGAAACCAAGAAAGTGAACACGTTTCTCGAAAAAGTGCTGGAATGCGTCCAGCACCCAGGCCTCGTACGTTACCGTAACGGCAGGATGATGTTGAAACCGTGACGCTTTTTCCTTGTTTTGGTGCTTTCGTCGTCTCATGTCCCTCACCAACTGTGATGTGATGTGGCTGTGACACGACCCTGGTTGCTTTCAGGTGGTTGTGTACAACCCAAACACCAGTGGCCTCGATGCTTTCGACAAGGCCATTCTGCAGGTTCGTTGTGCGTATGCGCTGTGTGTACGGTTGTGTGTGTGTGTGTGTGTGCGTGCGTGCGTGTGTGTGTGTCTTTATGAGTGTGTGTGTTTCCTGTGTGGTTACCTGCCTGGCTGTATGTGCATGTCGCAATTGTTATTAAGTGGCATCGCGCTTGACGTCACATCCTGTGCACCTTCCATCTTTTCCACGTTACCTGACACCCTTGACATCACCTCCTTTTAACTCTCCACTGTATCTTCCAGGCCGTGTTCAAGACAGAGAATGCAAGCCTTCTCAACAAACTCAAGCAAGGTGCGTTGTTGCCTCGCGAGTCATTTGTGGGACTGTGAATGTGCGACGATGAAGAGCACACACGCTTCCACATACTCTCTCTCTCTCTCATGCCTGCTCACACTCACACTCGCACGTTTCACACTCACGTTGTGGGAATACACCCATCCAGCAATGTTCTTTGACAACATCGACATTGCCCGCAACGCGCTCCACACTGCAACTGAGGTGTGTCATCTACCTGTGCCTGCCTCTGTGTGTGTGCGTGCGTGCGTGCCAAGTGCTGATGAACACGGTTTGTGACATCTTCACTCCTTTTCGCCCAATGTGTCACCTTTCACACCACTGTCCTCGCCCATGGCCAACACGTGCACAGGCTGAAGTCGAGGAATGCATCAACGACAACCTCCTGTATGCTTTGCAACACAACAAGCCCGACTTTGTGGAGCTTTACCTGTCGCATGGCGCTCATTTCTGTGACGTACGTCGTCGAACCATGTACTTTGTTGTATGTTGAGTGGATAGGTGTTCGTTTGTGTCTATGTCTCTGGCTGGCTTTGTGTGTGTCTGCGTGTCTGTCTGTGTGTGTGTATGCGTGCGTGTGTGTATGTGCGTGTGTCTGGTTGTCTTTGTCTGTCTGTCTCTCTGCCTGTCTGTGGCAGTGCACTGGTCGCGTGCTTGTGGGTTTGTTTTGTGTTGTTTCGAACACCCGCAAGCACACAACAATCAAGCTAACGGCACATGCGGTGCTGTCGTCCATATTCAGATGCAGCTCCCGTCCGAGCACCGAAACCTGGAGAATGCACCTGAAAGCTACAAGGACGCGAAGCGCCCTTCCACAACGTCATCAAGTGGGAAGCGCCAACCATCCCAAGGCACTCAGCAGAACCAGCAGCAGCAACGAGAAGAGAAGACGGGGGAATCAGAAGAACAGTCCGAGCAACAGGCCCTCGTGTGGCCGCATGACTTCCAGTTTGTGGTCAAGACGCTGTACGAGGTACGTACTTGCGCGTTCATATGATTGTGGGTGGGCATGTTGGAGTGTGCGCACCTATCGCGTACCCACATCCGCCATTCGTTTGAATCACACACACGCACATCGAGTGCACACACGCACATCGCGTGCACACACACACACACACACACACACACACTCTCTCTCTCTCTCTCTCTCTCTCTCTCTCTCTCTCTCTCTCACTCGCACAGAGATATAATTTTTTTTAGGGAGAGAGCTGAGAGGGACAGTACTTTTTTTTTTTTAAATAGACTATGTTAAAGCATATTCTGACACGATTTTTTATTTTTTTTTTATTTTTTATTTTTATTTTTTTTTTTTTTTATCTTA